ACGTAACTTTCCGTCGTTAAAGCTGATCGGCTTTACTAAGATACCTGTCGCTTCGGCTCCTTACAGAAAGCATACCTGGAAGCTGAAGGTGTTCGATTACGTTTTTTCCGGTACTTCTGTGAACGCATCGCTTAAACATGGTGCCAAATTCAATACTCCGCAGCAACTGCAATGTTACCCAGCAGTCAACTGCTGTCCAAAAACTCAGGCATTTCTTTCGGCAACTTCACCCCCTCCCACACATTTACATCCTCCAACGATTGTATCGAAAGCACTACACGCTTTTCCCTACTCTGGATGATGGCAACGGAGGGGTGGCTAAATTATTACTAAAATTGGCACACTGATATCTGTTGTTGAAATGAGATCAAAACCGATAATATATACGGAATAAATGGTGGGAATCGAAATGATTATTGCTAGCAATTGATGCCTGGCACTTGATATATTACGTGAAAGGCTGTGACGCAACACTACTGGAAGCGGTTAGACCGGCCATGGCTATAGTCACACTGGAAATAATAAAATAATTTTGGTTCAGTTAGCCAACAGAGCATGAATTCTGCACATCTGATTTGTTACCCTACTCACGGACATTCGCAGAAAGGACCAGCTAAAAGGAGTATTTGCTTAGATTTGATATTTTATTTAGGTATTGAACGAACAGCAATCCAAAATAAGCTTTCGACAAAAAGCAGGCAAAGTCCGTGATTACACTGTAAGAAAGAACCGTCTCAAGACGACATAACCTCCTCTCAGTTTTGCCGTCAAGTTCTGATTAGCGAACAGTTATGGAGGGGAGCTGATTAATGGAGGGATTGACTGGGCAGTGGTGAAAACACGACTTCGACTGAAGCCAGCAGTAGCACTTTATTATAGTTTATTATCGCAGTTTCTTGGAAGGAAAACTTATGAGAACATCTGATTGAGAGGAATTGCCTCCCTGCTCCTCCCTGCCGAAACGTTCTTGAATGCCCAAGCACGTGGATTTGCTAGTGGAATAGAGAGAGGAAGTCTACCAGTTTAAGTATCTCGGCTCACTTATCTTCAGCAACGGCACCGTCAAATCAGAATTAAAAAGGAGAATCGCCTTCCCATTTAGTGCTTTTCGTTCCCGTCGAATATTTGGGCTGGAAAAGTGGTAGCCCTTTTCACATAGATCCACCTGTACCTTGCCTCTGTCCGATCTGTGTTGTTGTGCGGCATAGCGGCAGTAGTTCTAACGACGATTGAACGCTGTACAGCAGCATATTGAGGATTAAATGGGAGCTCATTGTTTGAAATGACTGCTGTCTTCCGGGCACAGGTGAATTCAGCGGATGTGTGAACTGTGGAAAGTCGGTTAGCCCTGTTAAAGAGACTGGTTTAACATACGCCATTTACTCTGGCCCGTGAGCTTTTCACGTGGGAGCCAATATACGGCAGACGTTGTCCAGGAGGCCAATATGCTACCTGGAGAAACAACCTAGATTTGATCTGCTTCCGGAGATGAATATTACTTTGTACAATGCAGTAAACGGTTCCTTGTAACAGAAATGTTGTAAAGCTGCCATCATAGCGGAGATCACAAATTGCAGACGTCCTGTTTATGCAAACTTCCTGTGGTAATGATCGCTCACGTACAGCTACTCGTTGCCAATCTT